CACAGTAAAAACTGAGGTCCCACATCTACAATTATCATTAAAGGGTGAATGGGGAGTCTAGTTTCCCCCAGCAGTTGTGAGGTGTGAGCCACCCTAATTCTATGATGGGTTCCTGTTCTCTAGTCTACCAGACATCTGTGTTTTTCCATGGATTAAAACATAAATACAAAGTATTGGCCATTTATCCAGTTCATATTAAGATTATCAAGGCATAATAACTCAAAGAAAATTAACAAAAACTAAATCTTATATGAAATTTGTAATTGAAAAAAATTAATGAAAAATCAAGACTTCTTTATAAAATATAGAGATGAAATATTTGACCTGAAAAAACTGCACTTGAGACTCAAGAAGAGAAAATGTAAGACTTATTGATTTGTTAAAAGTTACTGCTTCTTTTCCTATGAATTTTAAATTTTTATGATATTTGCCATGCACAATATGCATATTTCTAGTTAGAATTAATTAATAGTCATGGTTCCACAACTTCCAGGTGCCACAACCTTCCTGGTGGGGTGGTGTCAAAGAAGCAGGGGGCCAGGACTTTCATTCCCACCAGGAGTAACAGTCACCCTACACAGTGTTAGTGGAGGCTATGGCAGGATCCAGGATTTCTACCCCTACCCAGCAGGAATGAGGCACTGCCTCTCTGCCCCAATGGGGTGGTGTCATAGGAGGCCTAATGGAGAGTCAGGTCTATTACTAATGCTTTAGTAATGAGTCCACACTCTTCTCACCATGTTGTTAGTGAAGGCCAATGGGGAGCAGTAACAAGGCTCCAGGTGCCAGCAGAGGCCAAGGGGGGAACCAGGACTTCTACCACAACCTGGCAGTAACAAGATGGAGCCTCCTTTCCCCACCAGAGCAGTGCCAGAGAAGGCCTGCTAAAACAGAATAAGATCTAAGCCCCACTATAAATTAACAAAAAATGCCTGAGTATGAATCCAAAATTACTCATTATACTAAGAACCAGGAAAACCTCAACTGGAATGAGAAAAGGCAATTTGAATATGCCAACATGACACAGCTATTGAAGTTAAAACAGCCATCATGAAAATGCATCAGTGAGCAATTACAAACATGCTGGAAACAAATGAAACAGACACTCAGCCAAAAGAGTAAAAGGCTCAGCAATTAAATCAAAGATATAAAGAAGAACAAAATGGAAATTTTTAAACTGAAAAATACAATAATAAAATTTAAACTCAATGTATGAGTTCAACAGCAGAATGGAATGGACAGAGGAAAGAATCAGTGAACTTGAAAGTAGAATAATAGAATATGAACAAAAAAGAGAAAACAGATTATATAAAAATGAACAAAAACATGTAGTTTGTTCTCTTCTCGGTGCTCTTTGTATTATCTTATTGTTACCACTTTAGAAAAATTCCTTCGTACAATCCATTGTGCCTAGCATGGTAGACTGCTTGTAATAGGTACAATAAATATTTTTGAATAAAAAAAATTAACAGAACCTAAGAGACATGTGGAACTATAGTGAATGTCCTAACAGTCATGTCATAGGAGTCCCAGGAGGAGAGAAAGAGGATGAGGGTGAAAAGTATTCAAAGAAATAAAGGATGAAAATTTCCCCAATTTGCAAAAGACATAAATCTGCAGATTCAAGCTGCATGAATGCCCAAAAGAATAAATCTAAAGAACACGTGCCAAGACACATCAAAATCAAACTCCTAAAAATTAACCACTAAGAAAAAAATCTTGAAAGCAGCCTGAGAGAAAAAAAAATTATCTAGAGGGGAAAAACAATTCAAATAACAGGATATTCCTCATTAGGAACTCTGGAGGCCAGAAGAAAATACATCTTACCATGGAATACTATTCAGCAATAAACAGGAACAGACTATAGATACATGCAAATTAGATGAACCTTAAGGAAATTACACTGAGTGAAAAAAGTCAATCTTATAAAATTAAAATTACATACAATAAACCCTCGATTTTGTGGACTTCAATTTAATGAACTTCAGGTATAAAGGACAAAATTTCTGGTTAGTATGTCATATGTGAAAATAAACACCCTGTTAATTTTAAAATGCTTTTAACCAAGATTTGCTTATAATTTAATTAACAGGGATTTTTTGTTATTGATTTACTGTTATTTTAAACAAATTTTAGCAAATAGGCCATATGTTGGAAAAAACACTGCAGTAATTTCACTGACAGAAATAAATATTACATATTTACAACTATACATATTGAAATACAAGAGTCACTGCTCTTAAACAGTGTTCAGCAAATGATTAGCATGTGATCACACCACATCTCACATGGTAAATGGTTCTGTTGTAGCCTGGTGAGACTTCCTGCAGGAGTTTTAATGTGTGCCAGCTGATTTTCCATGTGCACTAAGCCACGCCCCAGCTGTGTGCATTTGTTTACTCACAGTGATTGGTGAATGCACACATTTACTAAACCTATTCAGTAAAAATTTAAAATTATAGTAGTGCATATAGAAAACTTTTCTGTGAAATCAAACTTTTCATTCATACTTAATTTTAATTACCCAAACATAACTACATAAGTAAAAACAGGTAAATTAACTAATTTGTCAATGTTTTAACATACACATTTGGAAGACCAACTTTATTATATAATGGACTGTCGGCTTTAACAGACACCCCCTTGACCGAATTAGTCTGTTATATCCAGGTTTTACTGTGTTGTATAATTCCTTTCATATGACAATCTCAAAATGAGAAATTATTGAGATAGTAAACATGTTAGTGGTTGCCTGGTGTTAGTTAGTGGGTGTGGGGAGGTAGGAAGATGGCTGTGGCTATAAAAGGACGTCACTAGGAATCCTTGTGATGGTCACAAGAATCTACACATGTGATAAAACTGCAGACACACACTATACCAATGTCAAATTCCTGGTTTTTACTATTGTAATATAATTTGGTAAAATGTAACTATTGGAAGGAACTGTCTGCACTATATTTGCAAATTCCTATGAATCTACAATTATTTAAAAACTAAAAACACAACACACTTTGACCCAATAATTCCACTAAATTGTTTTTTAAAAATATAATAATGGATGCGCACAAATATTTACTTATAAGGATGACTGTTTTTTGCAGGACTATTAAGTAAAACTTTTCATAACACTTAATCTCAACAACATGGAATTAAATAAAAATGGCATAGCTACAATCACTGAAAATGGTATCATAAGACATGCCAAAAGATTTTTGTTTTATTAACTCTTTTGAAAAAGATTATAAAGCAGTATGTAAAATTCATTACATTTTCATAAAAAATATATATATATATGAAAAAAACAACAAAGAAATATACACCAAGTGTTTATCATTTCTACGCAGAGGTCTTATATTAATTGCACTTTTCTTTTTAACATCTTCCAAATTGTCTATATATATTATTAAACTGGGGCTACAAAAGTGTTTCATATAGAAACATAATTTATAAAAATATATTTACAAAAATAATCACAAATATAAAATGTAATTTAGAAAACCAAAGATGAAGTTTTATTTCATAACTAAGACACTAACACCGATAAAAGGACATGAAAAACTGGTTCAAGTAATAGGGGAAAATAATGATAACTGTCATGGTAAAGATTTACCTATATCACAAATCACTATAAAAGGAAAAAAACCTTTTCTGAATTGCTTTTCAAATGAAAATTCGGTATTGCAGCAATACTGGACAAATTTTCTTCACTCTCCCTGCTGACAGCAAGCTCCCAATTATGTTTTACCACATTTTTACCACCTTTTGGTAAACAGTAGCTGTATACTTGAAAACATAGTCAAGTTTTCCTTGATTATGCCAAACCAGATTAGTCTTCTGCTTCTCATAATTCTTATAGCAGTGTGAGTAAAACTTAATATAAATTTACAGAATTAAAAATAATTCTAGCTAATGATATTGTTATGTTTCTGTCCTATGAATCTCTAGAGTCCACTGTTTGTTGGTACCTCTCCTGTGGTACTTTCTGATATTCTGCCTTTTAGAGTTACTTTTGTGTTTGTCTTATCTGTCCCACTAGATTGTGATTCCTCTAAGGTCAGGGCCTAGTCCACATTCATCTTTATCTATTCTGCAATGTACATTGCACTGTTAATACTCTCTAGTTCCACTAGGTGTGCAATAAGATTATGAATGCTTCAGATTAGGCATGTCAACCTCTGCTTGTTCATAATCCCTACAAGAACATAGTTTAGATCTAGGCACAGTGATGTCTAATGTATACTTGATGACTTCTACTTACTGGAACATCTTTAGGGAATATGTTGCAGAAGTCATAATATATGACAGTGCTGGAGACAGAAATTTTGATACAGATAGGAAAAAGAACAGATAAAGTAGTCTCTAACTTTAGTCTCATTAAGCAGCCTGGCCAGCGTGGCTCAGTTGAGCATCGACCTATGATCCAAGAGATCATGGTTCGATTCCTGGTCAGGGTACATGCCTGGGTTGTGGGCTCAATCCTCAGTGGGGGGCGTGCAGGAGGCAGATGATCAATGACTCTCTCATCGATGTTTCTACCTCTCTCTCCCCCTTTCCCTTCCTTTCTGAAATCAATAAAGATATATTTAAATAAATAAATAAACAGAAATAAATTGAGAATTTATATACATGGTAGAAGTTCAATAATAGGATTAATAATTCTAAGGAAAAGTAAACAAGAAAACTAGTAGCAAAGAAAAAAAATTTCTTGAAAGCATATTTCCAATAAGCTTAAGAAAAATTACAAAAAAATTTGGAAAGTCATAGAAATTCTTTCACTGGAGAACTTAACAAGAAGTGCCTGTGAAGATTTAGCCACAGAAATGTTTAGAATGAAATGATTTACTGTATAAACATACAATGCTGTGTGAATTAATTCTATGAATAAAAACATATATGTGGCAAAACTCTGTAAACACAACCCTGACAACTGTAATAATAATTGCCCTCTTTACTTCCTAAACAAACACAAAAGACAAATAACTAGACTCTACCATGCTTACATGTGCCTTTCATGCATGTCATTGTTGAAGAACATAACTCAATGACTCGAACAGCAGAAGTTCCTGGTTCCTCTGCTGGCACTGTCAAAATGGAAATCTAAAAATAAAATATCAGACATAGCTGTTAGACCTCATTTTCATTTCTTCTATCATTATAGTTAACACCAAAACTGAGTGTCTTTTTCACTCCCTGATGTTTGAAAAAATTTAGCTTGTAAGGATTTTAGAACAGAATTTGATACACATAACACACATGTGTCCTAATATCCAATTTCTGCATTATTTATATATTTATATATCATCTATAGTGCAGTCATATAATTAATAGATAATGAATATTTAAAATATCTTCCATATTTATTAAATCCTTCACTTATTTTCAAGGGATACAATTATGACATTACTTCTGAATTATGTGCACTTCAGTGTTTGAAATCAGATCACATTAAATCAATTTTATTTTTTTCTATTTTGATTATTCATAATGACTAAACATAGAAGTTATAGAATACTAAAATATTTTTAAATGTTACAAATTCTGAAGATATTAAAACAAGCAAAGTATATATCAACATATACACCAAAGTACAGACAAACATATACCAAATGTTTCAAAATGAATGGCTTCAAATTAATTTAAGGATTCCATTAATAAAACTAGAAACTCAGAATTAAAAGTAAAATGGAAAATTAGTATTAAATAATGTTTACTGATATACAGTATGCTGTCCTAGGCACTACTGATATGCTAAATGGCTTTATATTTAAACACTTTAAATGACCATCAAGTCAATGTTTATAGAACCAAAAGTTTCAATATTAAATCTCAATCTTATCTTTACTCTGAGGAAACTATATCCTCTCATTTAGGAAATATTTGCCAAAGGTAAAGCCCCATTTGGACTTTTACTTGTGAATATCATGCTTATATTTTGAGTGGTAATGTCAGGTTGATAGTCCCCAGAGGAAATGCCTACAACAAGCTCCCAACACAAACTGTTTTAATAACCACGACTATGCTACTATCATATTACTTGTATGTGCATTTTTGGGCTTATGGTGTCTCAAAAACTATGTTCGCCATATTCCTCTTAACTCCCTTTGCTGCTGTCCATGACAGAAAATGTACTTTAGCATTAAAGAGAGAGGAGCCACTGAAATATGTATTTAATGTTATGTTAAATTATTGAATGATTATGACTAAAAACATGAGCATAATGGGAAAGTTCTCTTAAGGACTGCAAAAACATGTAAATACTTCTTTCATTATTATTTTTTTGTTAATCCTCACCCAAGGATATTTTTTCCACTGATTTTTAGAGAGAGTGGAAAGGAGGGAGGGGGGAGAGGTGACATTGGTTAATAAAACCATACTGGTTTCAAGTGTACAATCCTATAACACATCATCTGCATACTGCATGGTGTGCTCACCACCCAAAGTCAAGTCTTATTCAGCAATCATTTATCCCTCCTTTGCCCACTTCTACCTTCCCCCATCTCCCTTTTTCTCTATCACCATACTGTTGTCCATATCTATGTGTTTTTTCTTCTTCTTAATCCCTTCACCTTTTTCATCCAGCCCCCCAACCCCCCTCCTCTCTGATAGCTGTCAGTCTGTTCTGTGTCTATGATTCTGCTTCTATTTTGTTTGTTAGTTTATTTTATTACATTCTATATATGTGAAATTTAGAAGGCAGAGATGATGAATTCCAAAACTGGAGCAGAGAAAATAGGGACCAAGAGGAAAAGTAGATTAGAGCAACTTCCAGGAAGTACATTGACAAGACCTGGAGGCTCATGCGATGTCAGAGATGGGAGGAAGAAGCTGTTGTTAGAAGGATGCCGGGGTTATTCATGGAGGTAGGGAACAATGGATGAGTAGTTTTGAGAGGGAAGATGGGGAGTTCAACTCTGTGTACATTCAGTTTGAGGGCCCTTGGGATAGATGTCCATCAGAAAATTTAGCATGAGGGCTAACAGTCCTGGAGGATATAGAAGTGGCTCTCACCAACATTTATGCAGAGCTGAAATCATGAGAGTACATAGAGTCAAGCAGCAAGTACTCACAGCAAGAGGTGCTGTGGGCTGAAGCGAGAACTCTCAGGAGCCTCTGTATTTACAAGAGGATAGAGCCCAGAAAAGAAGTGGAGAGGGAATAGCTGGAGTTATGAGGAGAAACAAGAGAGCACAGTGTCGTGGAAGCCAAAGGAGCATAGAGTTTCAAGAGAAAGGGAATAATCAACATTGTGAATCAAATGTACCCCAAAAATGTCCTATGGCTCTGACTGTTATGAAGTAATTAATAAACTTAGCAAGAGAAATTGTGAAAGAAATGTAAGAGTAGAAGTCATGTTGGTCCAGAAATGAATAAGAGGTAAGTAGCTGGAGGTAGCAAGTACAGATAATATCTTGAACATTTTGATAAGAGCAGGGGAGAGATCGGATACCAGTTACAGATAGGGAGAGTGTCAAGGGTACATTTTATTATTTATTTTGGGGATAGAAAATGCTAGTACCTGTATACAGGTTGAGAGGAAAATGCCAGTAGTCCAGAGAAGGTGGAGGTGCAGGAGAGAAGGCAGGCATGCAGGGTGGCCTGTGTGTGTCATGGGCACTTGTGAAAGGGCTTGGCCTTGGACAAGGATGGAAGCCCTCTTAATCTCTGTCCCGGTGTACATAAGTTGTAGGTGGTGGAACAGGATGTCAAGGGCCACTGTGTTTAGTAGGTGGCCACACTTTTCTCAGTGAAGTGGGGAGGGGTTTTGAGAGGTTTAAGGGAAAGAAGGGTGGGTAAAATAGTGAAGACCTGAACTAGATACTGAAGGGAAAGGGAGAGGGCGCTGTCTCAAGCCAGTGGAAGAGCTAACTGATGGTAGGTACTAAGGTCCAGCCGAATGAAGTTGTTGCTCCTGACATTGTAGCAGTGCCAATCTGTCTGATTGGTTTTCTCAAGAAGCCCTCAGTGATCCAGATGCATATTATAGCCTCATCCAAGTGATGGGATTTTCCTCTGCATGCAGTGGAAGAACATGACTACATGAGATTTGAAGGTGTTGGTGGAAGGGCAGTTCAGAAGATCTACCATGGGATCTAGACCACGGAAAAGGAAGAGGGCAGAAGGGAGTTGATAATTTGGGAGCAAACAAAGGGGATGAGGAATTACAGGTCTCTTAACAGGTCACTGACTAGGCCAGGTAGAGTTAAAAGAAAGAAAGCTGGAAAAACAGGAGCAGATTAATGCCATTGTAAATCCATGACCTCAAATGGGCCGTTAACATTGTCCAGCCATCTGGCCACGAGATAGGCCACTTTCTAAGTCCCCACAATGATTATCTGACATCTTTCCCTGAGCTTTGATACATCCCCATTCTCTAGAGATTACCTCACCTTGTAATTTAAAAAGTAAATGGAACTCCCAAAAAAGACGGGAAATCCCAAACCTAGAAATGGTCCTGTATTCACCCTCTTATTTCAAGGTGTCCCATACCACACCTAACAGCAATGCTTTTACCTGTTCTCTGAATCTCATCCTCCCTGGCTTTTACCTGCACCTTGCTGCATCAATAATATCCTCCTTTTCTCCTGGGTATCTTCAACCTCACTCTCTCTTCTGGCTCAATATCATCACATACACTAATCTTTTAAATATAAGAGAAGCCCTCTTCACTTCCACATCCCTCTTTAGGAACTACTTTCTTTCTCCTACTCTTCACAGCTTAGCTTCTTCAATATTGTCTCTGTTTGCTCTCTTCACTTTTCTACCTCACTGTTATTCTTCAACCCACTCACAAAGCTCATGGTTTACTGGGAGATACAGATGAGACAACTGGTAATTACAGGATAGTGAGATGAATGCTATGATAGCTGTTACACCATTCCTTACTCACATTTGTCACACTGAACTAGTTGTTCTTTATTTGTCTGTATCTGTATCCTCCAGACGGCAAGCTATGAGGGCAGAGATGCTATCATGGTTAGCACTGGCTGGCATGTAAAAGGCATCTATTATCTGCTGAATGATTAAATGAAAGAACTGAGGTTCATGCACATAACAAACATACTTGTTTCATATAATAGAAAGTGTCCAACTTAAGGAACTGTAGGAACCTATTTTTAGCAGTTAACATATAGAATAGGTCTGACAGTCACACTTACAAAGCTCATTTTTCAGTCACTGTAAAATATGGTCAGAAGGAGAAGGGGGCATACTTCTGGAATTTAGGTGAACAGACTGAGGGAAAACCACAGGTATAGAGACATTCCTATAGAATTGGAGGTGAGGAGGAAAAAGAGGGTATTGAAATGAACAATAGCCTTAAGGAAATATCAGAAAAGAAAATGTGTGTTAACACCAGGCCTAGTGGTAGGTTTACCACCAGTGTAGTAGGGTTAGTTACCATGAAGTCTTTTCCTCCAAGATTTTTAAATGTGTTCTCTCGGGATTATCTTTTTCTTCTCCTAACTATGTATTTTCAGTTTCAAAGAAATAGTTGTTGGAACACTAGGATTTAGTCCAATTTTCCTAGCATAAATCTGTTACATAAGACACAATTATTTGTTCTGTTGGAAGGAAATCTTTAAGAAACCAAGATTATCACATAATTACCATTATATATTTAAAAATGTATTATATTAGCATATATGGCTTAATACATCACATTTCACCAATATTAATTTATACATATTACCATGTAGATTAAATTAGCAACACATTATTAAAAAGTACAGGACTAAAATTACCTGTTGATCTGAATCTGCTTGTAGTACAGATCTATCTGTAATCAAGACTGCCCTGGAAATTTGCCTGTAATGCACAAAACAGTTAATCAGTGATTCAGATTCCATGGATAAGTTTCATTTACAGTTATATAACCACCAGAAGGCATGTTTCAAAGATTTAAGTCACAATAAAAGTGTCACCTCCCCAAACTGAGTCAAGTTCTGCTTTAATCTTTCCTTGGCTCATGAAAGGAAGAATATGTGACCTGCAGACAAACCCCAGCTGATGCAAAGGAGTTAAAATTAGGCTAGGTTCCCCCAAAACCAGACACTATACGAGAACAATGGTAACGCATTCAATACATCTTTTATTTGGTATATATTTGCATCTTACTTGAACAACAGTTATACAGAAGTGTCAATGTAATCACAAAGCTAAACTTTCCTATTTCACATTCCCTTGGACAGTGGGTGAAGCGGTGTCTTACCTGTATTGCACGTGCGAGCATGTGTTCTCAGAAAAGTAACTGTCCTCCACAAGGAAATGCTTAGAGATTATTCTCTGACCAAACTGATCTATGATTGCTTTGCATCTACAAAGAAGACAAGCATAGCAAAAATGTTCTCATTGATGATTAAATAATTGAGCAAATGAACATAATCAGCTACCAATTTTGAATCTAAAACCAACTCCTTAGAAGATAGGATTTTAAAATTGCCTATAATTTCACATTTTTTACCAAAAAAAAACCTGACATTAAATACAGAATACATATTTTTATTACTATTTGAAGTATTTTAAACTATAAAATAAGTATGAGATATAACTTACATATTTATTTTGAATGGCATTATTAAGTAAGAACAAAGTTAGGACAAGTATATAGTATAAGTTTTTCTAATGTTTAGGAACATAGAAGCTTTTTCCTTTGTTTAGAAAACAGGGTTTTTTTACCTTAAGAGATCTCAGAAAAGGGGAGAAGTTGATTAAATATCTTGCTATATCATTCACAGCCTGTAAAAGCCACTAAAGGCTTTTTATTTTTCTGTTACGTGTTGCTTTTTCTTTTGTTCAAGAATAGCTCTCTGGTCGCACGTGTGATAATGTTTTAGACAAAAAAAAAAGGCCTAGAGCTTCTTTTAATATGTTTCCACTTTACTTCAAAGGATGATCATAGAAAGATTTCTTTCAAGTGCTGTTTCCAAATAAGGAAAACACTTATGCATGGACATTATCAGGTCTCTGTCATCTGATATGTGCTGGGACAATGAATCATACAGAACCCTCCATTGACCTTCTTTCAATGTGTCTAGATAAAAGGATGAAAATTAGAATCCATCTCCTTGCAGTGCCACAAGTTATAAATGTACTTTATAGGGCTCATTATCCAAACTAATGGACTAAGGGTAACATCCTTGAAATGGACTTACCAGCACTGACAAAGCCAGTATGCAATATTTCAGAAACTATATGCAAATGCCTGCATGTTTGCTGTACCTTTTTATTAAGGAAACATCACAATTTACTTTTGTCACAGCTTTTCCCTTTGGGACCAGAATTATTTTATTAGAAACACACTTATGAGTATGTCTTAATAAAATGCAAGCAAGAAATTTAAAACCTAAACCATATTTTAAATATACTGGTATAAATTAAAATATGCTGTGTCACTCTAAAATTAAGCCAAATAAGAGATATTTACCAGGCAGAAAGGCATTGAAAATAAAATGACAAACACACTAGACCAATAGTGAGATGAAGTTAAGGTGTATTTCCTAAAGGCAGATGATGATATGCCGGTATTCTTGAATAAATGGTGTGCCACTGTTGTTGGGATAGACTATGATATCTCCTGATGTTAGATATACATAATGTAAAGTTTAATCAATTAACCACATATTAACGCATGTTATGTTACATTAATATTTGTGATTTTCCTCATCACCTCTCCTCCTTTCTCTACTCAACTTATGTTCCCATGTATATCTCCTCACATTTCATTGAACTAGAGCTCTTACCTTATAAAATACTTAACTAAATAGATATAAGGAATTTATACCTGAATACCATACTTTTCAAAATAATTACTTAAAAAGTAAAAAGGAACGTTACTCACTCAGACTCCTGTTTTAACACATTCATATACAATTTGATACACAAGGTACTTTAGGCAATGAAGAAATCTCCTGATCCATCATTAAACACTGATCCCTATTTGTCCTGAAAACACTGACAAGCTTTTTTCTTACTTTTAATTCAGAGACTATATAAAGTCAAGAGGGAATAATCTGGGCAGAAAACAGAGGGTGTTAAAATCTTCTATATCTTGATAGGGATTTGGGCTATATAGATATATCACCTGTCAAAAGTCAGCTAATGAGCACTTAGATTTGGGCATTGCACTGTATTTTCCACCAAAAGAAAAAGCTGTAAGTAAATATTAAATTCTAGTTAATGATCTGCATGCTGAGGTGTTTAGAAGGAACTGTACTTATTTCTGGACTTTATTAGGAAATGTAAAAAACAAGAGTTTGTAAAAAAAAAAAAGTGAAAAGGTGAATTGAAGGATAAACTTTTGAGTAGATATATGATTAAGTAAGTATGTTAAAATGTTAATGGTAGGATCTAGGTGGTGGATATACAGGTGCTCACCCTGAAATGCTTTCAACTGTGGTGCAGATTTGAAATATTTCATCATAAAGTGTTGGACTAACATTGGCAGGGAGTGGTGTTAGTATAAATCTTGGACTCCAGTCTTAGTCTTTTCAAAAAGCTCCCATTTAAATAAACCACACAATTAAACTTGCCCATAAGCTATGGAGAACTTGCTTTGTAGGAGTCCAAACTCTAATGGGGCTGCCACACCTTTGGTGACAGGTAGACATTGGTTTCAGAAGTTATGGTATTAGAAGGAACTACTGGGAACACTCAAAATGGAAGTATGGGGGCATGGGGATTAGGGAGTTCAACAATGCAAGGACAATATACCAACAAATGTGCCTCTTTACGTTGAAGCTTCTGGATGAAACAGTGATTCTCAGAGGAGGAGGAGAAGGAAGCAAATCAGAATCACACCTGGGGGACTTTTTCAAATTACAAGTACCCCTGGAGATTCTGATAAGCTCCCAAATCCCAGGGAAGAATCACCATCAAGCGTACCACTGCTACGATTGTATCTATGCTGTGCTAGGTGGAGAAAAGTCAAGAGCTACTGCTACGGAAAGAAATATATTGATTTCTGCAGTAACTGACGTTATGGTCACATATGCTCTGTCAGTCTCGTAGATGATAATAGCATAACTCGCCTGATAGTCTCCTTCTGAAGTACTAAGGCTCTAGGCCCAAACAATTCAAAGCAAGATGTGCTTAAGTAAGTGATAAGATTTGTTTTCCCCTCAGACACTTGACTTACTGTCATATATTTGGCCTAATTGGGAGAACAATGAAGAAAGGAATATTGACTTGGGACCTAGACTTTGAGTTTGTATTATAAGATTAATATAAAAAATTAGGTGACATTCAGGTAATGGAAAACAGCCAAATGAAACAGTGCTGCCAGGGACATTAAAAGACCCTCCTGCCAACCCCTTCTGCATGAACCTGAGGAAGCCATTAAAGATTAACAGCATTTTGGATTTAGTGGAGGGCCTTGCTGAGCCTCATAAATAGTAAATTGAAGAGGAACATGATAGGAGTTCCCAGTTACAGGGATATAATGACAAAGCTGACCATAAGAATCACTGAAGCCAGACAGAACATTTCTAGAGCTGAGCTTTCTAAATCAACAAATCACAATACTTACTCAGTTCTTAGTGCAATGACACAAGAGTATAAATAGCAAAATAACAATAAGGAAGAAAACACTCAGCAAGATGAAAACTCTTTATCTGGAATTTGGCCCAGAAGAGAAAAATAACATTAAAACAGGCATCTGATTGCTATTATCTTCAGAATTAATATCCCAACTAATTGTATGGTAAGGAGTGCAGAAATCACATAGGAAATAATTTTTAAAAACATTAAGGAAATTAGAAGATTCCAAATCACTGAAGGAAACAAAATAATTCTCCCTACTAACTATGCCCTTCCATGATTTCTCAAACACATTAGTCCACATGCCACCTCTTCAATGACACCATTCCAAACACTTATCATTCATTTCTCTCAGGTAAAAATCCACTCCAATAGTTTCAAACACCATTAACCTGCTCTGACCAAGCCAAAGTTCTGTATCCATATTTTAACCTGTTTATAATCTATTTTTTCTGGAGAGACTCCAAATGCTTTTTAAACCTAGCATGCCCCAAACTGAGTTCATCATGGCTCCTCATTTGCTTACCCCCTTGAAATTCCCTATCTCGGGTAATGACATGACCAGCACTTAAGAGAGTTTCGCTCAAAATCTCTGTTTCTACATCTAATCTGCTACTCAATTTTCATTCCATCTTATAAATATTTCTTCAAACTCACAACTTTTCTCCATCTCTATTGACACTTACTTAGACTCTTGTGAAGTCTAATAAGACAATGGACAACTAGCAAGTTGGTAGCTCATTTGCTCGATATAAATGTATGCCATGACAACCATGTGCCAACTACTGTTCTACGAGGTGAAACTAAATATATCTTGTCCTAAAGGAACTCCCAATACAATGAAGATTCAGACACAAGCAATTATAAGACAATGCCCAAGTCCAGTGATACGAGATAAGGACAGGGCATCCAGAGATTACCAAGGTGGGGTACCCAACTCAGGGTAGCTGCTTTTGAAGTAGGAAAACCAGTTAAGCAAGCAAATAAGGAGAAGAACACTACATGTAGAAAGGCAGCATGTGCAGGGGTACAAAGGCAAGAAAGAGAAGTACAGTAGACCACAAGCAGTCCCCTGTTGATTGACAATAAAATGGAAGTGGGGGTTGCGGGGAGAAGAGAGATGAGCTTAGAGAGGCAGGTAAAGGCCAGTTCCCCAAGCTTCACGTGTCATGTTAAATGGTCTTAGACTGTATTCTGAAGTACTATAAAGCCACCGACACTTTTTACACAGGGACAGAGCCAGATCTGCATGTTGAACAGATCTCATTGTGTAATTATCTCCTTAATTTATTTGTTCTTTAATGATCTCTAGTAGATTCTAAAGTCCATGAGAACAAAGACCATAACTGTCTTGTTCTCTGCTGTGTCCCCAGTGCCTAGCACACAGAAAATAACTAATAATTGTTGCATGGATGGCTGAATGGGTGGATGGATGATGATGATGGAATTATTCCATGCACGGGAACAGTGCAGAGGCAGAAATAAGGATACAGTCTCTCTAATTTAGGAGGTAAAGAACCTCTTTCTATCAGTGTTTCTTCCAAATCACTGCCAGAGTTACTAACTTAAAAGTAACAAATCTAATATTGTCATTTATCCACTTAAAACTGCCACTGATTACAGTCCAAACTCCTTAGTATAGCACAGAAGGATCTTCAGTATCCAATTACATTAACCATTGCTACTAGTTAACATGTACTGAGTTCTTGCTATGTTTACAAAGGGCTCTACATGCTTTATCTATTCACTTAATATTCAAAATAAGCCAGTGAGGTTGGT